TATTAACTATCTAATTCGTTCTGTCTAGCTTTTTGTCTAGGTTCAGACTTTTTTATTTATAAAAATTGATGGCAAGGGCTCACGAGCATGGTTACCCATTCCGTGTTCATCCGGCTTGAATTTGGCAGATTTCTGACATTACTTTCAAATGCAGACGACAGAAAATGAAGCAGGATACGTTTTCATCACTTGCGCGCGTTCTTGCGCTTTCGGGCTTTTGCGCGCGTTTACGCGCGTTTTCGCTTTTTCGCGTGTAAACGCGCTTTTTTGCGCGAAGTATAAATTTTAGCGGAAAAAAATCGAAAAAAGCGACATTCTTTTCTTTCCAACCTAATATGACGGGTTCCTCAAAAATCACAACATTTCAGGCGCTCACTCAGCACAAACGTTTCATAGGTGGGAAAAGCAAGCTGTAAAATATATGTACCGATGATTCATTTTCTACGGCCTCTCATATTTTGGCGGCTCAACTTAAAATAATGAAGCTTGAATGATCTTCTTCATTCAATTTTATTTCCGCAAACAGTGCTCGCGAGACTCGCCAAAGCATTGCTTGAATGTAGAAGGCTTTTTTCTGTTGAAATCTAATATATAAAGACTCGTTAGCTCAACTCAAAAATCTGTAAGTAGCGGGAAACTGAGAGCGGTCCCAGCGCGCGGTTGCGGATCTAGCACCTTTACATCGCTGATCACTAGTCATAACAAAACAAATCTGTTCAGATCGTGAAAAGCTACGAATTTTCAAAGACGAAACGATAAAACATTTGGACCGACGATAATATATAAGTGAAACTAGAAAACAATGAAGCTTTTTTGCCAAAAGTTCACTCACTCAAGTTGAGGTTGTTCGTTAGTTCCCATCACATCGGCCATGGAGAGTATTAAGAGACATGAAGTGAACTGCATTAGAGAAAATTTTGTACGAGCTTGGATGCTATACGATTACCAGCTGACTTATATTTATGCGGAAATCTTCTAGCGAGCATCTCTCGTTTAGAAAGAACGAACTTAGACTCGATAGACCAGGTAAGAAGAACTAAAGTGGACTTGATAGACCAGGTAGGAAGTGTTTTCATAGCGCTCTTCACCAGCCGAAATTGAGTGCTATTTGAGCACTTGTCACTTTCGTACATCTAGCTTCGCAAAGCATAATTTTAGCTTCATGAGGTTAAAAGAACTCACGAGCAATTGAGATAAGTGAGATAGATTTTTAGGAGGGAACCGACTACTACTGTAATTACGAACTAGGCACTGTGATCATGAAATAACAAAGATTTTACTCAGCTGTTCACTATATGTCAATAGCTTTACATTTCAGTCCTACTTCTATTGACATGAACGCAAACACAAAGGCGCTCGAGAAATAAACAGTGACTTAAACGTACTCTAAATGATCACTTTTTCATTTACTCC